CTTTTCTATCAATAATTCTGTTTTAACATTTGTCTTGCGCTTATCTATATTTCGAGCTTGCTAGCATTGACAATTCAGATGTATCAGATTTGTACTCCAAACATTCCACAGATACTGAATCCTACTTATCATCTGACATTAGTAAAACAATTCTTTCCAAACTTGCACAAATACATTCAATATTCAACAATAATTATAAAATGTAATTTCTTTCTGTACCTATAGTACTAAGATTTTGGTAACCCTTCCCTCCTAGAGGTTCTGTTGTTTTTTTCGTACCCTCTCGGAGGTTCTCGGAGGTTCTTTTATCCTCCACACCCCCTAGTAAATACTTTATGACCGGTCCCTTAATGATATTGTCGTAAGCTCGATCAAAAAAACATTGTAACAATGTAAGTTACAATTTGTAAAGTGACATTCAGTAGTTTTGACACATTTAGCGTTAATAAGATTTATATACAACCGAGTACCGGTAACATAATATGTATTAAACTAATAGTATTACCATATTTATTTGTTTTGACAAATGTGCTTGTCATAAAGTTGATCTAATAATCTTTCCTTTTTATTCATTGTCAGTTTCTAAATTTTGAGTATACAGTACATACGTATTCAAGTAATAAATATATTTACGAACTTATCAAAGTGAGCGATATGATGCCTGAACTTGTTGCCCAACCTCCAGTAAAGGTCACTTTTATCTAAAATATACGATAAAATGGAAGAATAACTTAGTTCGGAAGAGTGCTAATATTCGATGATCAAACTTTTGTCTAGCGGATGAAATATATGAAATATTTGTGACTGAAACTGCGGGAAATCAAGCCTATAGGAGGCTTAAAAATGGTTTTTTCCACACACCCCCCCCCCCTTTCTTTACTTAGCCTTTCTTTAATGATGCTCCCTCCACAACCTCGCGTACCCCAGGACTTCTGGTTTCTCCACTGATGAATCTTTAAAAGACGCCTGTAATGGAATGTCGCTATATCTCTACAATCGGAAAAGACCAGATGATTGTTTGAAAATTGAGATGGATAGGGTTTCAACTATATCTGAAAAATACAAGTAAAACTTCGGCATTTCGAGCGAAGGCCGTCGGAAAATTACTAAGTGTACAAAAATTGAGGGTCAGGTTCCCATGTTCCCTTTGGATATTCTTCCCATGTTCCCCACAAAGATTTCACCATGATCCCTTGTTCCCCAGCTTCCATGTTCCCTAGCTCCCTACTGTTTCTAGCATTCTTATTATTAGTATTATAAAATTACATGCTCCCGAAAGGGCTTTTCAGCATACAATTACAATAAAAAGACTAAAAATAAGCTATTATATACATGCGGTTAAAAATGGTAGATAGGTACAATGTTCAATTATTTAAAATGTGTTTCTTTACTTCAGATTTAAAATGTTTGATATTTTTCAATGATTTGATTGAATCAGGCAGGCTGTTCCAATGTTTGGTCGCGCGATAATGAAAAGTTTTTTGGCCATAGTTTGTATTTGATTTTGGAATTTCTAGATCTTTACTGGACCTGGTAGAATAATTGTGGATGGTATCTCGCAGGTAGAATTTCTCGCTCAGGTACGGCGGTGAAAGATCGTCCATGCACGTGTATGTTTGCACAAAGTCTTTGTATACAAATGTTTGGTCAACCGTCATCCATTTCAATTCTCTTAAGATGGGTGTAATGTGGTCAAACTTTCGCGTGTTCGAAATAACACGAGCTGCGAAATTTTGGACTAACTGGAGTTTCTTTACATTTTTTGCTGTTGTGTTTGCCCATACGGACGAACAATAGAACAACCTTGTCAAAACCAATGCTTGAACCACTGAACACAACGTTTCCTGATCCAGGAGATGACGAATCCTACGAATTTGACATAACTTGGCCATGCATTTAGAAACCAACAGACTGATATGTTCATCGAATTTCGTATATGCATCTAACGTGACTCCCAAGTCTTTGGCAGAAAAAAACAGAAAAAAACCCAGAAAAAACAGCATTTTGCCAAAAAAATTCAGCGAGAACTTTTCAGTAAATGGTTTTAACGAAGCTGGTAATCCGAATACTGAATATGAATTTTGTCTTTTCTGGATTTATTAACAGTGAGTTCGTACAACACCAGCTTGTTATTCTACAATCTTTGACAATATAGATTGGGGCAATCTAGTTTTCACATGCATGCATTCGGTTGTAATATACCATTTCCTGATACATATTTTCCACCCTCTCTCCCCCCACCCGTTTCAATGTTGGCGCCGCGTATCCAGACATCAGATTTTTGTTGGCCCAACATTGAACTGGGGAACGGGGGGCGCCATTCCTTTCAAATTATATGAAATTACAGCAGCTGTCCCATAGTTTC